CCGCCTTCCCTCCCCACCACCCGCTGACCCTTATGAACTTGAGCGGATGCTGCCCTTTTGATGTGGGTGTTTGGTGTGCGGCCTGTGCACCTCCCTCGGGTGTCTGTTCACAGCACAGACAGTCTGTTGTGCGCCTGGGCATCCCGTTCTCCCCACTCCCTGGAGAGCGCCCTGCAAGGGCGCACGCAGCCTCAGGGCCGGGAGCAGTGTCAGCTTGAATCACCACAGCTCAGGTTCGGGTTCAACGTCAGGAAGGCTGTGGCTTGACTGGAGATGGAGGGCAGCCGAGAGCGGAAGGAGCACGCAGACGTGCAGGCGTGGCGAGGCCTAGATTCGAATCCCAGCTCTGCCACTTCCTGCCTGTCTGGCCTCAGAGAAGTGGCTTAGCCTCCTGGGCTGCACAGGTGGCCGCCTCATCTGTACGCAGGCAGTCGTGTGAAGGGAGCAAGGGGCGACTGTAGTTCGGGGCTGGAAAAGGTGTGGGGCAGGGTGTTTCCTTGCACCTGGTTTACTAAATCTGTGACACCCAGACATAAGGGGAACAGACATCCTCAAGGGGAATGACAAACACCATCCTGGTAAATGGAGGGGAAAACAAGGCCTTCTGGGACCTCATCCTACCTGAATCAGCAGTCAGCACCTGTGAGCAGCCTGCAGACACACGTTGGGAGGCAAAGAGCCTCTTTTAAGCATTAAAAGGCAAGGATGTCGCTTTGGTGGCTAAGGTGTGCCCGCCCCAAGCCATGGCCTTTTCGCTCGTCTCATGAGAGCACTAGACAGCGAAGGGAAACGGGGAAAGAGTGCATCTGTATCGTGCTCTTGGCCAGGGATGCTGAATGGACCTGGGACAATCCGAAGCTTCTGAGCCTTGGTTGGTGTAATGGGTTACGTGTCGGAGTTGCTAACTGTCAGGTCAGCAGTTCAAAACCACCAGCTGCTTCAAGGGTGAAAGAGGAGACGTTCCCCACCTGTGCAGAGTTACCATCCCAGAGACCCACATGGCAGGGAGTCGAGTCCGAAGAAGGCGAGTCAGTGTCTTGCTTACTGTCAGCATGTCTTCAGGGAGGACCCCGAGCTGGAAAAGGACATCATGGTGGGTGCCACGGAGCATCCGTGCAGAGGAGGGGGACCTTCAGGGAGATGGGGGGACACATCGGCCTCACCAGTGGGTCCAGCACAAAAGTGTCTTCCAGGTGGCCTGGGCCCGGCCGCATTTCCTTCTCTTCTTCAGAAGGGGCGGAGAGTCAGCTCAGCTCAGAGCCAGACCAGCGCCCCACCATCTGTATTATTATCTGCGGTCACAGGAGCTTAGCCCAGGGACCCAGTGTCATTGGAGTGACCACACTGGGGCCTGCCTCCTGGTGTGGCCTGTGGGGAAGGAGAGGGCGCTGGAGCTGGCCGGCAACTACTCAGGTGCCAAGCTTTTTCTTGTCAAAGGGAAATACTTGTTGACAATGAACTGAAGCTGAAATTACACAGGTGCTTCTCTTACAGAGCCCTGTTTCGGTTCCTCCAGGGACTTGGGGGTCTAGTTGTCCACCCTGTGTAACCATTGTCTTGAACCAGGCTTGACTTCATTTAGAGATTTTACCCAACTCGATCTTTGTAAAATATTCCCCCCAAAATCTATTTTATTGAGGATAACAAAGTTGCCCTTTGATTCAAAATCTGCGTGCATGTCAAATGATTGCAGCCCAGCGTTTGAACTTCAAGCCAGAGGGCGCTCTGGGAGATGCTGGCTCTGCATGCATCAGCCTGGCCTGCCCCACAGCCCTGCGCCAGGCTGGCTCCTCTCTCAGGATCAGCTCCTGCCGACAGCGGTGTGGGGAGGGGAGAAGCCGCAGCTCCAGTGGAGTCAGTGGCACTGCCTGGGGCGGGGTTGGTTCAGAGAGATCATTAAAAGTGAGCGGAGGTCAACCAAAAAGACAGCACTGACCCAAGGACAAAGGTCAGAGGGTGAGGACAGAAGGGACATAGAAACTGGAAACACAGGGAGGAAGGGGGGACAGGCTGCGCGATGGATGAGCAGGGACAAAAGGTGGGTGGGTTGTTGAATGTGAACCTCACAGTCTACTTTGTGATAAAAGGTGGAAAATCAAAGGGAGGGGCTCACCCCGGGGCCCTCCAGAAGGGCCCCCAGCTCCATCTGCTCCCAGGATTGCGGGGGCCCTGGGGGCTACTGCGCCCAAGGGTCAGTTCACAGTTGGCCTCAAGGCTCTGTTCCTGAGCAGCAGTTCCTTGTGGTCGGGGACCTGGGAGCAGACTGTTTTCATAGCGAGGACTCTCTGGGTTCCCACCAGAGACACCTTGCTTTTCCTGACCTGCAGGGCGACCAGCAGGACCTGGGACGCCTTCCTGGTCCTCAGTGAGCAGCACCTGGGCTCTTCAGGTCCTTTGGCAACGGAGGTAAAATAAAGCACGGGCCTCAGACCCTGACGAGCACTTACTGCACCCAAATTATTCATGAGCCGATTAGAACCGGGAGCTCATCAATTATGAAAGAACCGTTGCCGTTTCTGTCAACAGTGAGACCGACCCAGTCTTGGGGTGTGTGTGTGTGTGTTTTTCTATTGAGTTCCATTATTTCCAGGCTGTACATGATGTGAATAGATATTGCGCACGAAAGCGGGAGAGCAGAGCGGTGTGCTCAGCCGTAGGAAGTGAGTGGGGCCCAAGACTGGACCTGTAAGGCAGAGACTGACGTTGTGAGGTGCTTCTGGGTCAGTTCCGACTCATGGCGACCCTATGTGCAACTGAATAAAACCTGCCTGGCCACATGCGGTCTCCCCGCTGCATTAGCAAAGTCTCCAGGACGGGCCTTTCCTGATGATGCGTCCGTCCGGCGTAAGCAGGACGAAGCCTCGCCATCCTGACTTCTAAGCATTCTGGTCTTGCTTCTTCTGAGCCAGATCTGCTGATTGTTCCGCTGCTGTGGCGCTCAGTGTTCTCTGCCCACGTTGCATTCGCGTGCATTACTCATGTGCTGCCCAGCGGTTGCCTGCCACGAGGTGACGGGAAACATCAGTGGCTGGGGCAGGCAATCCGTACTCCTCCAAGTGACATCGCGGCTCCTTACCACTTGAAAGGGGTCCGGTGCAGCAGATTTGCCCAATGGAAAGCACTTCTTAACTGCTGCTTTCATGAGCATTGACTGTGGACCCAATAAATGGACATTTTTGACAGTTGCAGTTTTTTTCTCCCCATTTTTTATGATGATGTCTATTGGTCTGAGTGTAAGGCTTTTTGTTTCCTTCATATTAGGGTTTAATCCATACTGAAAGCTGATAAAGCCTTTGATCTTTATCAGTAAGTGCTTCTGCCTCATATTCAGCAAGCAAGTTTGTGTCTCCTTTGTATCGCAGGTTGCTAAGGAACCTTCCTCCCAGCCTGATGTAAAGCCTGTCCTTTACATAGTCCAGTGTCTCCAATTCTTTGCTCAGCCTGAAGATGGAACAAGTGTGGTAAAAGGATACAACCCTGACACACACTTTCAGATTTCAAACCAAGCACCCTCCCCTTATTCGGTTTGAACAACTGCCTCTTGGTCTATGTACAGGTTTTGCGTGAGCGGTTAAGTGCTATGGAATTCTGTAGTATTAAATTAAAAGTGTTGAGGAGGAGTGGGGGGCCAGCCCCCACCCGCTGTTAGAACTTACTGGTTCAGTAATACTACTTCTGGGTTCAGTAATGCACAATTATA